AGCAAGCATAGCTTTACCAAAACCATGGTTTTTTAAATCGAATGCAGTAGAAAACCATGTCTCATGATGACACCTGTAATCTCAGCAGCTGGAAAGGATTCCTGACAACAGAGAGGTTTCTCCTGTTAACACAGAAACTACTTTTTGCTATGAATATCCAAGACACACCTGAGATGTTCTTCAGTGACATGAACAAGAGAAAAACAATAGAATTCTTCCACATGGCAGTTTTGTAACCAAAGGCACCCGTCTTCCGGTGGGAAGAAAACCAAACCACCAGACTGTAGGACTTGTGACTTCCCACACAAGAAAGCAAAAGAACAATTTTGATCCAAAATTGTCGCTAAAGATGAAGAACAAGCTGCATTTTTTTCCCTGTAACTCACAGCAGTGATTTCTAAGGGTCACCTTGGCCAAGGAATGTCCTGCAGGGCTGTTTACCGTTTCTTTCGAGCACTTCAGTGGAAGGGAAAAAATGCAGGCCAATTAACTGGAAGTTTTAAGGAATAGTTTTAAAATTATGATGCCGGGGGAAACGCAGAACCAAGCGAGGCAAAGCACCCGTCACATGGATCAGCTTAGTGTCATTTTCACTTCGAATAGACAGATTTTGTGCTCTTTGATCCAGGCGAGGGTCGGTGTCCGCCTCTCCCCCGGCAGCACCGGCTCCTTCCCGGGCAGATCCAGAGCAAGCCCTGACCCCACCTCGGAGCCGGGCGCGGCTTCGGAAGTGTCTGCGGGACAAGGGGCATCCCGGGAGTCCCTCGGAACTGTCGGAGCCGAGGCCCCGCTGCCTTCCCGGCACCGCAGACACCGTGCCGGGGGTCCCCGTACCGAGGGTCCCCGCTCCTGCGCCCTCACCTTTCCGTATTTCTTCAGGCGTTTCCCGTAGGGCCGCTTGCCGGGGGCCCGCGGCGGGCGCAGCGGCTCGTAGGAGCCGGGCAGGACGGCGAAGCGCACCTTCCTGCACCCGGCACCCTCCTCCTCCTCCTCCTCCTGCTGCTGCTGCTTCTGCTGCTGCTGCTGCAGCGCCGCCGGCCGCGGGGCCCCCGCGCTGCCCCCGGCCCCCGCCGCCTCCTCCTCCTCGCCGGGCAGGATGGAGACCTGGTCGTCGCCGGGCCCGCGGCGGGAGAACCTGCCCCTCACCTTGGCGCCCAGCCGCGCACCCACGGTCATGGTGCCGCCGGGCGCCGACCCGTCTGCGCCGACCTCGGGCGCTTCCTCCGCCGCTGCGCCACAGGTGTGGCCGGAGGCGGCCGCTGCCCCCTCCCCGGGGCGGGACGGCTGCGGGAAGAGGCGCCCTGGCCCGGGGCAGGCGATGCCCTCGGCTCCGGACCCCGGCCTCGCCACCGCTGTGGTGCGGGCAGTCGGGAGCTGCTGCGGGAGCCCGGGATTGAAGCCCGTCAGCTCAGCGGGGACAGGTGAGCTCTGACGGGGCGGCACAGCCCGCACCGCCCCCGGGCTGCTCGCCAGGGCCAGCGAGAGCCTTGGAAGATCCTTCCGTGGCACCGCACGCTCTGCACCGGCCCACGGCAGCACCGCTCCAGGAGGTCACGCTCTTTCCCCGTCAGCCAAAAAGGCCACAAGCTCCTTGGATATCCCTCAGTTACAGGTGTTCCTACTAAAGCCACGGGTGAACAGCCTCTTCTGCCTCCTGGGCTGCACTCAGCTACCCCTGGCAAAGGGGCAAGTGGAGGAATTTCTCAGTGGCTTTTGCCCAGATACTGGAGAGGCTGTGATAGCCACACCTCGGCTGCAGTGTAGCAGCTGCCTCTCCTAAGCAGCGTTCCTCAGCTGGGGTACATTAAGAAATGCAAAATTGTACAGGGAGGATAGATGCAATTTATTAAACCAGTTGGTGTATTTATCAACGTTTGATACGCACATGAATGCTTTGGGCAAGCAGATGCAACATGGGGACAGACTAATCCTTTCCCCTGGATTCTTCCTACTGAGAAACAAAGCCTTAAACCTGCATCTCCCCAAGATGTGTGAGTAACGTTTGGAAAGTAAATCCTGCACTTCACATTCTTATCTGTCCCAAGGATGGTGATTCACCACCTCTACAGCTCCAGAAAGCTCTACAAAGAACAGTGGGGCCACATCCCTGGATGGTGGAAGTCTCAAGACTGCCACTACAGGAGAAGTGCTCTATCCCATAAATGAGAAGTTCTGAGGTAGGTAATTTTTCCCTGTCATCCTAAGAGAGGGAGGCCTTTCCCCACAGACTTGGCTTGTACCTCACTTTTCCAGAATTCAACTATCAGAATACATCTCTCAGCTGAGATTTAGTGTCTCCATGCACAAGATGGCAGGGGAATCACAACATGTTCTGACATGAACAGGTCCAAGGTACCCCGAGGCGTATGACACCAGATACCAAAACCTCACGTCTCAACATCTCATGGAATTTTAGCATCACCCATTACCATATGGCATAATAACCCGACTTGGTTCCCCAGCAGTGTTATTCGTTCAGTGGACCAGGAGTGACTATTTTATTTTCACTGATTTATATACATTTTAATGATTTTAAACTGGACTGTGTGAAAAGGGATGCACTAGTTTTGGAAATGCTGGTATACCCCAAAGAAAGAAATAATGCAAAAAACCACCCCAACTCAGACAAGCCAAACCATGCAGTAACCCCACTGCTCACCCTCCACCCTCCCAAACATCCCCTAGAGATGCTGCCAACAAATTAGTTGACTTAATGAGGCCTCTGAAGATTTGAGGCATCCCTCTTCCCAGCCTGGAACTGGGAAACATGACGTGGCATTTAAAAAACTCTTGTGTATTTCTGAAGTTAAAGCTGTGCTGACAAAATGCCACGCCAGTCCCCTCCCACACGCAAGTTGGGAGCATTTGGATCCGAAATGCAGCTTATTCCTCTTGCCTAAGAAGTAACTGAGACATAAGAGGTCCAGCACAAGTCAGCTGTTGAGGGTGCCCAGAACCAGGCACTGGGTCATCTCACTGATCCCAGACTAAGGCTCTGCTTGCCAATAAAACCAGAGACCTTTTTCAGAACCGCTTTCTCTGATCTTCCCATCTTACTCCTGCTGGGGCAGCAGATTTGGAAAGCCAAGTGCTGTGTGCACCTACACCTTTCGCACTCAGACTGTGTCTCTGGGGAAGCTCCAGGTGTATTTGCTATGGAGAGCATGAGGTTGGTCACAGCTCATCTTCCAGCAAGGCAGGAGGAGGAGGGCACAGAGGTCAGGAATCAGGCCAATTTCACACTGCTGGCAGCCACTGGACAGAACATCATTTGCAGGCTGCCCTGATACATAAACTTTGAATCGACAGTGACATGTTTCATGGGTAAGCTGAATGAAAATTTGTCAGCTCTGTCCTCTGGAAAAGCTGTGTGTGTTTTGCTACATCTCCGTTTATATGGAGCGGTGAAAACCAGCGGCAATTTAGGGCAAAGTTAGCCATGGAAAAACAGCGCCTATAAAGCGGGAGGCTCTCCTAAGTACTTAATCTACTGTCTCACAGCATGACCTATATTTTTTCCACTGAACCTTCTGAAAAGGCAAAGGGTTTTCTTTCATGACCAAGTTCATACATGACCTTAGATTAGCATCACAGTTATATTCCAGTTGTGTATTTTTAAGAACAATTGAGTATTTATGGACATTTATGGGTAAATTGAGCAGACACACAACGCCCTCCTCCCCGGACTGATTTTTGGTGAATTCCTGTAAAAGCTCCTGGACATCCATTTCTAAGCAATGCTAAACCACTGATAGTTTCTGAACAGTGCAGGAGCACTGAACCCATACCATGCTAATCCTGAATTCACACCATGCTGAAGGTGGAGCCTGTGCTTTTATAAAGGGCAAACAACAAGTATTTTAGTATGAGAACTGTTCAAGTAAGTTTTAATAGAGTGCACCAGTGAATCAAGATGACTTGCATCAGATTTGGTTCAATGAACATCAGATAAAAAAAAAAAAGAAAAGGGGCTACAGTTCTTTCTTTCCAAACACCACCCTTTTTCTAAGGCAACAATACACGTCCATTTCCGAACATAACTGTTACATAGGAAAGCTACATCACAGTACAGTATGTAAAGTCCATCTCGGTCAAGAAGCCATTAGAGAATGGCACATTTACTACACTTACAGCTTTCTAACTTAGGGTTACAGAGTTTACCACAGCTTTTTTTTTCATTTTTATTTTTTAAAGTGACAATTCCTTAATGAACTTTCTATTCTTCACAAGAGTGTGCAGATGGGGCCCATATGTTGATATTACAGTAATTACAACATTAAATAACATTGCACAACCAACCTCTATGGTTAATTCAGTACAAAAGAACAAGTATTAAAATGTACCAGTACTAGTGGTTTTACATAGTTTATAATCATTAATTATGAAGGAAAAAAAATGTGGGGCTGTTTTTTTTTTCTTTTCTGTAGGCAAGTGCCTAATTACAAAGCTGCACATTACAGGCATAATGATATGGAATAAATACAAGAAATCTGGTAAAATATTAAACACAAACAGGTTACATGGGAACAAACTGTACAACCACAAAAGCATAAATCAACAATTTATCATTATAAACAATGTATGTTTAGCTGTAAAATATTACGTGGAATTGCATGTACTCTTTGGGGGCACATGTTCCAAAAGCCAAGCTAATTCCTGAGGTGGTATTATTTACTTACACAATTGGTCAACACTTCAGATTATCTTGTGCTATTAAACAGTCCCAATGTTAATAGATTTCCATAAAATGGAATTTATAGTATTCCGAAGGCAGCAAATAAGTGATATTTTACACCAATATATTCAAATGAAATAATTCTGGTTCTCCGTTTTGGTGCTACATTTGTTAATGGGCCATGGGAATAAGCACTGGAATTTGCAGACAGAAATCACTTATGCCTGGTTTCTGTTCCCCCACAGCTCTGAGCTGGCCAAAGGCAGAACAAGGTTTCTAAACTGTAAGTGCCAACACTGTAAACATATTTGTCTCTTTTTTTTTCAACTAAACACTGTCCAATAACAAGGATAAGAGCCAAAGATAAGCAGGAACAGTCTCATGTAGAACAAAAGCCAATTACTCATCGACTTTTGGTTCAACTCATGAACAATTTTTAAATAATTAAAAATGGTCATGCTACAGTTGTGAAAACTAGTTTGTGCATTTGACTCAGGACAAGTTTTTTAAAAAACGCATGGTAGAGGTAAGACTTATAAAACCCACCAAAAATGTAAATGATAGGGAAGAACTTTTCCAACTCAAAGCATCAAACATACATTTCTGTGCAGAAATCTAGACAACTATACAAGATCTGAATTTAAGCAGTCATCTTTTTATTATACAACTCTATGAACATAAAATGAACAGAATGCTCTATATACTTACCTGTACATGTGAACATAACTTCTTTAGCTACAGTTATTTAATATAGGTCATACTGGATTTAACTTTACAATTCTGAATAACTATGTATAACCTTATTGCAGTAAGGGCAATTTCTACATGGGGAGTTTCACAGGCCAATCACATTAGGCGAAACCAGTACATTCAAAGTGTAGATCATGTATGAATCTTCCCTGATCCCAAAGAATTTAGGTTCTCTTTACAGCTTAAGCTCATTTGCTATCTTGGATGCAATGTTCTTAAATGCGATAGAAGTCCCAGATATTCTCTTGAAGCGAACTCCATTGAGCGACAATCGTGGCAGTTTGCAGACTTCCATCTCCCACTGAACAAGGCTGTCTTGTCGTGCATCACCGTGGACACAGAAAAGCAAAAACCTCTCTTTTTGTTCGTAATCACAGTTATTGGCATCTAACACTTTCCGAATCTCTCTCATCATATCATTCGGGTCCATAGAACTCGTGGTCTTCATACTCCACGTGAAGCGCAAGGAGCGTGGCTTTGAATCTTTGCTATCCTCCTTCTCTCTGTCTTTAGGCTCCCCAGAAACACTCCTGGAATAAGTGACACACAGCAAAGTCAAAACCAGAGCAGTGTAGCCGAGAGAGAGAAGAAAAATACAGCTCTTGAACAGGGGTTTCTAAACTGCCATTGAGATGCCACGAGTCACGGGCAAGCTAATTCAGGGATTGGGATGGGCTCTGCTGGAACAGCCCTGCCCCACGTGCCGCACGCATGTGCTCAGCACAGCGCTGTGCCACAGTAGTGGCACACAGCAAAGCAAGTTTGGAAACCCCTGCTCTACAATGTTCTAATGACAACATGTGCAATGGGAACTGCAGCAGACACACGTTACTCCATACTGCTCCAAAGTGGAATCTATGTAAAAGCATGACTGAAGTTCTGCTGATTTCATGATCTGGAGCATGCCATACACCAACAAAACTGAAGTTGAGGGACACAATCCTGAAGCAGAAATCATACTGTAAAAGCAGCAGAGGAAGAAATCCCACCCTGCAACTCACAAGTCTTTAGTTAATTCCCTCCCCCTCTTTTCTGCCTTCCTCCCCTTTTGTATTTAATTTTTGACCTCTCTCTGTGCCAAAAGACCTTATAATAATGTGTTTTATTTTAACATACAATGATATTGATGAGGCAGAATTTTGGACTGTAATTTGGCTGTGAACAGCCTATTGGTCACCATTTGAGTACAGAGCCAGCAGCTTTTACAAGTAAGAAACAGCGACTTGTGTTTTACAAATACAGACACAAACTATTTTATTTGATAAAGGACAAAATTGCAAGGGAGCAATTTCCAATTAATGCTCTTAGTCTGATGCTTCATTATCAAATAGATTACTTGTTCCATTGCAGAAAACATTTTGAGAACCAGCACAAATTACTTTAAAGTAATTCCACAGTCAGCTGTATCTGCTCTTGCCCCAGGTATTCTTGATGCTGATGCCTCCACATCCACCACTGGGGAAAGGTGCTGCTCTCATTTCAAGTCTATAAACTGTCATTATTATTCAGAGAGGAGTCAAAACAAGCACTTTTAATTCAACTTTGTGTGACCCCCAGAGAACCGCATTGATATTAAAGGATGGAGCAGGGATAAGATCTCAAATGACTTTTTTAGCCCAAAACAGACACTGTAGGATGACAAAAAGCAGAGAAAGCTAAAGAATGAAAGCAAGAGCTGAAAGCAACTTCACACTTCATTTGAACACTCAGTCTCTTTTCCTTTTCTACATCCAAGAATTTGACAGCTAAGAGACTCTGAGTTGAAAAGGGCTAACTTAGATAAATGCATTGTGTATTATATACAGTGTAAGAATGTGCTGTTTATTTTTTTTTAAAATAGAGGCTGTTTTGAAAACTAAATCAATACTTTCTGTAAGTGACCGGTTTAGAATGAATGCAAACTACAATGCCTGTTCATTAGAGAGCAGAAAAATAAAGAGGTATGCACTGTGCTTAAGCACACCAAAAGCTGAAACATGGCAAAAGAGCAGATATACTGGAAAATGAGCATATGAAGGAATGTTTTATTGCTAACAAAGCATATATAGATTTGTGTACAGTGGTTGCCACAGAAATTCAATATTTGGCAGTCACCACTCCTTTTGTCTGAATGTCACTTGCTTTATTTCTCAGAACAAGTGACATTCATTTCTCAGGGACTATAAGGTGTTTACTTATGGCAAGCAGCAGCTTTACTAATGAGCACAGTATGCAACTATAGTAAAAATTTAATAGATACATATATACACACAGACACACGAAGTATTTACACTGTCCACTGAAACCAAAAGTAAACACCATTAAATATTTGTAAAGTCAAAACATGATTTTAAGTGCCTAAAGGATTGGTTAACTCCTACAGGGGGCTTTATTATTCAAAGGAATATGCTTACATAAAGTTTTGTATTAAATACTTCGCAAGAAAGCAGAAATGAGGGATATAAAGGACCTTGCCAAGACCCCCTCCCCCCAAACAGAAAACATTTTTGAAATACAGAATACTTAACCACTATTCTCTTTTACATTTTGATTTAAAAGGCTTTAAGAAATCACTTGATTCGAAAGACCTAGGAGCGAAGTATTAATAGTGACTCCTCACCTTGAGGTGTCAGTTCTGCCACTGGCTTCGCCTTCACTTGGATCCCTCAAAACAAAGTTAAGGTTGAGATTCAATGATAAAGGTGAAAAATAAAAGTTAAGAAAACCTACACCTAGAACAATGTTAAATAGCTACTGATGAAAAAAAAAAATCAGTATAAATAATGTCAAGCCTAATACTGTTTAATATAATTTTTTCACAGCTGTAATTTTAGTTTCCCTTTATGACACCTTAATTTTTTCCAGCTCTGATGTGTAATTGTTTAATTTTTTTCCCCAATTGATGGTAAAATTAACAAGTTCTTCTGAACCTACTGCAGACAGAGCAATGGCCACATGTAATTCCAGCAAGCACAGAGGAGCAGTTGGTCAAGGTGGTCCAGGGGAGCTCCACTCTGCGCCCTTGTGGGTCAGGCCTTTGTGTATTCCTGAAAGCACTTTGAGACAAGCCCATGCTTAAGCACACTCAAGCAATTAACAGTAAGATGTGCCTAAGAGTTTGTGAGACCAAATGCTTGAAGACCAGCTCAGGAAGGTTACTTCAACATCTGCTTCACTTTTAAGCAAATCAGCTGTTACATTCAATCTCACTGGAGTCAGTGTATCTTTAACTTGTTGCATTAGAGCTGTGCTTTGCAAGGAACTGGTTTATATTATGTCTTTTTAGCATGAAGCAACTTGAAATATATCCCCAGATTGTGTAAGCCACCTAGGGATGTTCCTAGTGCTGCTGTACCAGTACTTAGGACCCAATTTCAATTACCTGATTAATGTAATACATTCAAAACACAAATACTTTAGTAACTAACACCAGGGAAGTATCATTTGACATAAACCATTGATTAAAAACACTTCAATACCCTATTCACTAAGCATTCTGATAATGCATTTATTTTATATACTTACCAGAAGAGGCATTTACCCTTATCGAAAGTTAGTAAAAAGTCTTTCATGACACCTTCTAGTCAAAGTATACTTTAAACTATTATTTCCTGAACAGTACAGAAGTTCAAAGTTATGTGATCCAACTCAAAGAACAGCAAAAAAATAATCCCCTGGACCTCCACCCATGTAATCCCAGATATTAAGTCTTAAACAACCCAAATTTTTTAAAAAAAATAAAAACAGAACACCCCACCATCACCAGTAACAAAATAAACACACCCTGCAGGGCTGACAAAATATACTTTTAACATTATAAAACATACTAGGAAATTGTAAAAAACTCTTCTATAATAAAGGATAAATCTAAAATACATGAATTTAGCATATCTTAATTCTAAACATAGTCTAAAATATTATTTTAATATTTTAAGATAATGAAAATATTATTTCTTCGATCTAACTCTTAAAAACAAAGTCAAGATACCATTCCTTGTAAAAAACAAGGAGCCATTGCACAAAAAAATCAGCCTGTACTCTTGAAATCAACTAGTTATTCAACAGAAAATATCTTTCTTCCCATTTACAAATCTACGCAGTTTACTAGCTTTGCTGTAATACTTTTTTTCTCTTTAAAATCAGAGAACAATTATTTCCTTACAACTATGTAAGTGCTGGAGATAACAATAATGGAGGATTACAGTCCTGTATGTTCAGGTTTCTGGAAAAAGAAAATAATTCATACACTTCTTCTGTTTTAGGTCTTCAAAGGAGGTATTACTTAGGCACATACTGATGCAGTATCAGCTCACCAGGTGAGATCAATTTTGTGAGGAACATTACTGCATTTCCAGCTTCCTTCTCTTCCCTTTTAAGTATCACCTTATGTAATTCATATTTTACTTACAAATCTGCAACCTAACTTTCAATTTATCTTTTTTTCCCTGCACATAAATGGTAGAATTCAGTGCGCAACAGCCTGATTCAGCAAAGCAAAGAGAAATTTCCAGGATGTAATTGTGGGGTATAACTGAGAAGAATGCATTATGGACACATCCATAAACAGGCTTGGGAATTAACAGATAAATCACTGGTAGAAAGAGACAAACTGAAAATTAAGTCCCCTTTTGCAAAAGCTCTTGTGACTGCTAAGTCTACAGTCACTTGATCTTGAACAGTGTACTTGAAAACCTTTCTCAGCATCTTTCCTCACAGGATTATTACTGATAGCATCATCACAGGAATGAATGCAGATCCAGGATGTGTGGGTTTTCTTCTTTCAGAAACCTGAACTTACAATTTGAAGAAGCTGGTGACATAATAAAACAGGCTGTATGATACTGAAATACTATTATTTCCACACTTCCAGACTTCTGCCTGCTTCTAACTTCTCATTTATTCACAGATTTTAGAATTACCTGAAATAACTTGTGAATACCTATTATTTTTAAGTACAGCAATAAAATGAGTGTAAATATAGCCCTTGCAACAACTGCATTCAATTAAAAAAGTAAAATATTGTTAACGTTAAATAATGACTCATTTTGAAGTCACTCTTTTCAGCATTTTAATGAATTTGATTTTATTTTAATTGTATCACAGCTAGGAAACAGGAGGAAAAGACTTTCAAGCTGTGTTCTCTTGCTCCTTGAAAATAAGGAAGCAGAATAGCTGGTCAAACAATGGTTACAATATATGCACAGAAGTGAAACAAGGCAGATCCTGGAAGGAATACACAACCCAAGCAGCGTTCTAACTGAATTTGTATTTACTTCAGATAGACTTCACAATTAAAGTCCCAGTCACAGGCTGGGCTTTTCTAATTGTTTTCTCTTGAAACTCGAGGTACCAACCTGCGAACAAACTTGGAGGTGATCTTGCTGATGATGCCTGTGGACGTCCCTCTCCTGGCGTGTGCGAACGCCCCGGTCTCGTGGGAGGGCGAGGCGGGCGGGCCGTTGTAGGTGGCGTTGCGCCGCTCCCGCAGCTGCTCCCCGTGGAAAGTGCTGCGGCTGGAGCTGCCCCGGGGAAAGCGGGTCCGGTCTGGAGTGGTGGTGCTAATGCTATGAGCAGATGGGGAGGCAGCAGGCACTCTTTGAGTTGCACTGCTGGGAAAACAGAAGCATAAATAACGAGAAAGATCGGGCTACAAGCCCTCCTACATGACAACTGCTTCTGAAAAGAGGGGAAAGAAACCCTGCTCTTAATTCTTTTCAAAAACTGAATGTACCACTGATTTGCTTTTAGTATTCATACTCTTTGATTTTACAATGAAAATATATCTTGATTATTTCTATCTCAATGATGCATAAATTTTAATTTATCTCTAGAGCTGTTAAAAAAAGTATACACACACAATAGGACAAAAGGGAAAAAGGTAGAAAAGTCTGTAGTGAGATCTGAAAGTGTCCCCAGCTCTTTTCTGGAAAAATGTGTTCATTAACACTTTTACCCTTACTAACACGTTACCCTTAACATAAGCCCTCCCAAAAAACTTAATGGATATTTCTTAAGTCATAACCTGACAGAAATAAGTGTATAAAGCTATTCAGGCAGTTAATAGTAAGAAGAACTATACCATGGTGCTTCTAGACACCAATAAGCTTAGCAACCTACAAATCAGAGAGGTTAACATTCCAGTATTTAATTTCAATGTATGGTGGCCTGTGTTGTACAGTCCCATCTAAATAGTTAAATTTTTAACTACCTAAGTTTTCTAGAAGTTTCCAGAAGGAGGTAGTCATGGAACTTCTTTAACTGTATGTAAACGAGTGCCATGAACAAAATCAGGTTTAAATCATCTGTAATACCCACAACACTTGAGCAAGCTACTGTTTAAAACCAGAATGCAATGTGGCAGTTTTGACTGGATTACAAACACTTTGAGGTCTGTCACAATCTGAACAAGAGCATTTCTGAAGTGCACAGCTATGGATGCTAAATCTGAACCAGAGTGCCTGTAGCTATTACAGGCCACAGAGCTCAGTCCTGCCTGAGAGCTAGCCTGAGAAATTTATGGGAGGATTTAAAAACAATCCTCAAAGACAGAAAACAGCCCTTGCAGGTGTTGTTTATCTGCCTCTTGTTTTCCTTGCAGGAGAAAGTCAGGAGGTGGTGTACACCACTGACCAATGATGGCGATGTAGCAGTTTACTAACCAATAAGAGTTTCCTTTCTGTACTTTCCACGAACTAGTCTATAAAACAAGGCTAAAGCAATAAACTAGGGAATTCTCCTGTTCTGACTCCATGAGAGTCTATGTCGTCTCTATCCAGCCTTTCCTAAATAGAGCGACACACAGCAATAAAGAAACACCCATCAATCTGTTACCTTGGTCGGTAAGCTTCAGTACCATCTTTGATGGTTGGCAGTGTGACTTTGATAGGGTGACCAGAGGCAGACATAGACTTTTGATGCCGAGGGCGTGTGGAGACAGAGGCCACTGCAGAGCCTGCAGAGGATGTGCTGCTTGCAGACATTTCCGTCAGGCTTTTCCATGGTAGAAAGGCAGCAGGGATGGACAAATGACAAGAGAAAAGAAAGTGTAGTGTAAAACCCCTTATAAAAAAGAAATAACTCATTTCTTATTTTAAAAGAACTCAGCAGTGCTGCTTAATTAAATAGAAGACTGAGTGACCAGGCTGCCTTAGTCAGCTAAAGAATACAGAATTCTAAGAAAATTTTGTTCATCCATAAATGAATTCTCCATATATGTTAAGTTAGGCCTTTTCATTCCTGCCAAGATTAAAGCTTACACACGCGTTATTCAAAGTAATAAAGAAAGACTACAACGAATACAAGGACAAAAAAATACTGAAAAAGAAATTCCCAAAGACTTAAATAGATTTATTAAAATAGACTCTCCATTCATGAATACCCTTACTTGTAGTTAAAACAAACAACTAGAACATGAAGCATTTAGAACTGCTGTCATATTATCACTTAGAAGTCACTCGTTTTTAAAGGACCAATTTGTCCTCCTCTGGACAGTGTTCTCCAGACATTGTTAGGTTGAGTCAACCCTTTCAAAGTACAGTTTCTTCTATCAGTACTTTTATTTCTCCTTCCTTAAGTGGCAAGAAAGATGAAAGTAGTGACAAAACTATTGTGCCATTAATTTTTAAAACAAAAGTCAAATGAATTAAGGCAAAATACAGCTTTGCCTCTACAAGGGTAAGTGAAATTGCATTAATAATGTATTAGCAATTGGAATCCCACAGCTAAATAATATCTGTAGCAAAGAGGTAAAGACATCAGATGAATAAGTCGATGACAAGACATTCAGCTGCACCAAATCCAAATTCAACAGCAACAAAACATCTTGTAGGAAAAGCAAATAATTCAACTCAAAAGAAAATTCTTCCGAATTTTTCAGAATATGCTCAAAGAACTGAGCACAATAATTACTACACTCATGAAAGGAACAGGGATTAAGAATCTTTCAATACTATAGAAAAAATCAACTTTAAAATGAAAAACTTCAAAAAAATCCCTTTTCCTTGCAAAATCCTGTTTTACGTATTAAATCTCTTGAAAGAAAAATATCTTTGTCAGATCAGAAAAAATATTGTAATATGTGTATTATAACCCTCTATCTAAAAAAATCTGATATCTGCTTTTTTACAGTAAAAGGATTGTTACTATCTTCGTTCAAATATTTGAAACTATATGCAAAAATTTGGGAAAACACTTTTGAAAGCACCCATCTAATAATTTGAAATTAAAATGCTTTAAGGAAGTACATTAAAAAGCAGAAAACTAATTTTAAGTGTTTAATTAAATAGTTGTCTTTTATGTGTTCCACAGCTCATCATTTTACTGTAAATGAACAGCCCTGCACTTCTCTTATTTCTAAAATTTTATGCATCATTAAAAAATTCAAACACTAGGACAGAAAACAAAAGAAAACTAGTTTACTAGATTATGCTATTTTGTGCTATAATTTTTTTCATTCATTTGACAGTAACTGCTGTATTTGAATAGCTTGAAAAGCATCACAGTAAGAGCTGTTATTTGAATCTAAATTAAAAAAAAAAAAAAAAAATCCGGTTTTTATTACTCTCCATTCAAGCCAGTACTTTATTTTTCAGTCAAGTACAGGGATTAAATAACACCAGGGATGAACAAAAGATTTTTAAAAAGACTAACTGGCAGTGTTAAATACAACACTGCTTTACAAAACATACTAAACTTCATTGTCATCACACAAATAGACACAAACTGGTTAAAATCACTATAAAAATACTATTTAGGCCAAAAATGTATATTGAAAACAGTTAAAAAATTTTAACCATTTCAGCTCTTTGAGTGATTAGGCTACACTGCCAGAGTAATCCATCTGAAGCTCTCCATAGCACAACTGCCCACTTAGCAATTAGTTGTTAGCACAGTTACTTCATCCTGTGTTGGAAGACAACCCTCAGTAATCAATGTGATCCCATGAAAAGAAGCAAATGCCAACTGGCACATTTAGCTTCAAAAATTGATCAAAAAGAAGCAGCAGTGGAAGATGAAAACATACACTTGGTCTTTATGTGTTTCATACGGTGATTCAAAATGGTATTTTGCAAAACCTGCTTCTTCTGTGCCTCAGTTCTTGTACCCAAACTAATAAACAAAGGAAGTTGAACAATACCTGTTGTCCTTCCCATTCTGTATTGCAGAATAGCGATCTGAAGAACGTTCACAAACGTAAGTGTTCCTTCTTGTCATTCCACTACCAGAAAACACATTATTCTAGAAGAGAATTAAGACTAAATTAAATACTTTCTACTGTATATCATGTTGTACAAAAATCTAAGCACTGGAATAAGCAAATCAAAACAGCGTTTCAGCCACTTATGTATATTGTTAATGCTTTCAAATGTACTAAGTCAATCTGTCAACACAAATCATTTATATCATCAGCTGTTTTTTCCAATAGCTCATTCACCATCTCATTACTGCACCATTGAGAATACACTGAGAGAACACAAGGAAGTTTAATTTTGCTGACACACGCTTTACTAAGTATTATTCTGCAATACCCACATACTGTGCTCCTGTATTTATTTGTCCCTGAGATCAAACAAACCAGGATCCCAGAGAACACACCTATGGCTGGCTGAAAGGCTTTCCTGCACAGCATAATTTTCCAACAAGGGCTCCAGTTTGTTGCCCCTGTCAAAAGGGCTTTCAAGAGGAAAACGGAAATACTGTCAATCTATGTCAGTAAACCCAGAAACTGTGATGCAGTAATATGGCAAATACATCTTGTTGCAAAACCACTGATGGTATTTCTTTCTGTTATTAATTTCAGTTTGGATAGACTTCATAAAATAAGTGCATAGTCTCCATCCCTACCAAGCACAGGCTAGCTGCTGAAGGCTTAGCTTTAATACAGGACATATAATTCTCACTTTGTAATACACTACATACTGAATTTGGGGTGGGAGAGGTTGCACTGTCCTAACATTACACATAACATTCTGATGCCTGCTGGCAAAAGATTTCAAATATCCTAGATTCAGCTACTACAGGACATCATGAACTCTGCAAGATTTACTATGTTCAGGTCTTCCTCATCTACAGTTTTTCAGCATTAATATGACCCCACAGAGACCACTTAATAAACTGTTTTAAGACCAAACTGTAAGGAAGATTAACAACTGCAATAATAGTTTCTGAAATTAAACTCTCCCGAGTTACATGACTGAAGGTGATAAATACGTTTTCAAGAAATTCTGCCTTTCTGAACATCATGTTACCCCCAAAGTTACACAAAAATATTTTTAAATTATCCACATTAAATTAGCTTTTTTCACTTTAAATGTTTGAGTTTTAAACAAAAATATTCACCATCAGTGTAAGCTGCTCAACCTTGAACTACTGTAATATCAGACACCAATATTCCCTAATCATGCCCATCACAAAGCCCTTCAAAGTCCCCAGAATAGTCACAGAGCTAAAAATGCACAAATATTGAAGTTGCCATTAGCCAGTAAATCAATTTCTCATTCTTCATAGCAAAGATACTCCATTTAATTAGTTCTCACAAAGCAGAGAAATGCTTGTGACATATCAGCTTGTACCACACATGACTCTAATCAGCTTTGGGGCAATATAGTTTTGAGAAAGCTCAGATAGGAAATCTAATCTTAGAAGACTCAAAGTTCCTGCATGCAATCCACACAGCCATAATTTCAAAGACTTTTGAGGGGGTGGGGAGACAACAACCCTATTTAAAATTTAAAAAAAAAAAATTAAAGCATGTGCAGATGCATTGCAGACACAGCCTGCAGAACACTAGGAGTTAAATGAACTTCAGCATTTATTTTACTTTCAGAAAATTCTAATAGAAATGCACATCATCTTTCCAGAATATCCAAGATGGGAGCACGTAGAATCCCAAAGGATAATGAGAATTCCTGCTGCCAGTCTACTGTACTAAAAGATGGCAAGAGTTTTTGTATTTAACAATGTCTCCTAAATAGCACAAAGTATACTTGAATCTTAAATCATGATTCATGCACACTTTTTTCTCCCACATGAGCTCTTGCTCCTAAGTAGCTGTTTAAACATAATGCAGTATTTTTTCACTGTGAATCCTAAACACCAATCCTACTGCACAGGAATTACCAAAAGGCAAAGTAGATGCTTTCACATTAGAAGAAAGACTCTCTGATTTGGAACAGAGGTGTTTGAGGCAGTAATAGGATAACAGTATACAGAACTCTGAATATCACAACAGAAACATTAAGAAATTATTCATTTGGTAGTCCAGTTCCTTAATACAACAATCAGGTCGTAAATCATATCAGCAGGTATACGTATCACAGAACAAGTGGGTTGCTCCCCCTCATCTCACTCCATTTCCAAAATGGAGTGAGAATGAAGTGGTTTCAGAGAACCAAACAGCCAAATTTACTGAGAAAGTTCATGAGAGATATTATGTAGGATTAATCAAATGAAATCTCTGAATCAAAAATCCCTTAAGTTTCTTGTAGATAGACAAGCATTAGAAACCAGATAAAGGGCACTCCATATTGGATCCATTCTTATGTTCTTTCCTTAAATATCCAGTATTTTTCTTAACAGAAACTGAAGTTTGCCCAAGTGCAGACATTCATGTTTACTGTTATGTCAGTGTTAGAAAAAGTAAAGTTGGGGGGGAAGGGAAAGGTTTATTTTAAAAGGCATCTACTGTAGCCTATTTCTGTCTGCCAGGAAAAGTTACCAGAAATAGACTTAGTGGCTATTCAGTACCCATTATGTCTATAGTAATCTTGTGCTGCACATTTTGCTTAAATAGGAATAAACAAATATAACAAGCTGAAAGCACACCCAACTCACACTGGTAACTGCACTTGACTTCTTTCTTTCTGGACCCACAAGTGGACTTGCAGCCATCTCTCCCTTGGATCCCACTGTAGTGCTGCCGAGTTTGCGTGAGACATCCTTGTCCCAGTCTTCTTTCTGTTCACTTTCCACACTGTTTGCCTGAGACCTTTTTGTGTATGACACAGCAGGAGGAATCGAGGGGCCAACTGCCAAATAAAAATAGAATTAATAAAGAACTAAAAATAATCACCGCATTTTTCTTGGCCAAAGTAGCCTAAATATAATTCCCTGAGTCCAAAAAAAGCATTTGAACAACTCTGACGGCAAACTCAGCACACAGACCAGCCTACTAAATTGAGCTGTGACAGCCTGTGTTCTTTTTACCCACTCTCTCTTCACCACCAATTTGCAGTTCAGAATTACTTCCCATTTCACATCAATATGTAAAACCTAGAAGAGCATTTTAGTTCTCACTGTAAATCCATGCAATTTGTACAATATTATGAAAAAAGGAATTAAATTATATTTTTCAAAAATTTTTTTTAGTATTTTTTGCTGTATACCTTTCCCTCTAAATACTATAAAGATTATTTTACCCTGAAAACCCTAGGCCTACTTTATTTACAAGCATGTTTATACTTAGAAAATATCACAATTCTTTTCCCCTCATCCTTTTTTTAAACGTTTTGGGAAAACTCCTCCATCAGTAGACTTTTACATTCCTTTGAAATAAAATCACATGAGCTAACAAAATAGCAGAAAATAATTATGTAAATTAGGCAGAAAAAAGGATCAAGCATTTTAGAAATATTTATAGCAATTTGACAGATGAGGAAAAAAAATATTATCTTTAATTTAATGTTTTAAATATGTTTTAAATATATATTCCTTTTTGATAGAGGCATTTTCACCTGAAAACATTTCCTGAATACTTGGTAAAATTGCTGTCTCTTGGAAGGAAACAATTTGGCCCCACAGCCAAGTGTAATGATAACATAATTGGCTTGCTGCCCTCGGGGCTATCCAGGGCAATGGCTGCCATTAGTTCCTAAACAGAAAACACCCTCAGCATCTCATTTAGTGAGTTAACCAAGTATCAAGCCCAAAGAATTAAATCTGCAAGGTGCATGGATCCAGATTTACCATGGAAATCTTTGTACAGAGACACGTCACAGTGAGCTACACCACAAATACACAGAGTGGGGGCCCTGCCAGGCTCACAAAACCCTGCCCATTCCCACTAAGCTGTGTCTGTAACTTGACTTGCTGTAACGTCATCCCCACCATGGTCGCTGAAGCGCCGCTGTTTCTGGTTGGTGGAGATGCTCCGCTGGACCTTCAAGTGAGCGGGGGACTGCACCGAGCTGTTGTTGAGGTCGCTGCTGGGACGAGACCTTTGACCCAAGTTGCTGCTGGACAAGGAATCACCTGCTTCAAACTACAAGGAAAACAGTTTTCAAACCATAAACAAAATTCAACACTACCAGTACTTTTATACCATTATAAAGCAAAAAGCTCCAATCAAAGGTGTTTTTAAAAAATTTAACATTGTATCCAGAGCTGAATATTCTTCCAGATTAATTTTGTCACTTCATCTGTGTTTAATGAGCTTTAAAAACAGGTAGCTAAAGCTACATAGTTAATGAATGCTCAAAACAAAATTACAAGAATCTTGACAGAAACAAAAACAGCGCTGTTTTGAAACCGAAGCCACAGAATGGCTTTCCCTGCCTTTTTAAATTTTATTTCAAAGCCTAAGAGCATTCATAGCTCCGGAACAATTTTAAAATGCATTGGACTGAGTCAGAAGGACTAAAAAAGCAAGTAGTGACTAAAGGATTCCTTATGGCTTTCAAAACATCTTTATAAGGTCTGTAACTCAGTCACTGATTTGTTCATATCTAAGAAGCGCAAGTTCTATGTAAGAGCAGAGGAAAAGACAAATATCCTCTTCCAAGCAATTTGAGCCAAAATGATTTTAGACACATTCCCCCCATCCTCCGCCATCACACGGGAATTCTGGCTCAGAGATGTGAGAAAATGCACTCAAGGATGCACATATCAGATTTACACTTTCTTGGAATTGAAGGAAGGCCAACGAAACAGCAGGGAAAAAATTCCTTCAAAAAGAAAAACTTGGTCTCTGATTTCTTGAAAAATCCATGTGGTCCCAAAAGATGTGCAGATCCTTCTAGTTCCAAAACAATCACAAGATTTTTTGCCACAAATTTATTAATGACTGCAATGCAATAACATATTGAATAATTTCATATACTCTAGAACAGTATATGAATGAGAAAGGATGAACACATTTCTGAGACATAAAGGATGTCACATCTGAGTAGTCAGAAAAATAAATCCTATTATTTCAGATTTTAAACTGAAAACACACATGACAAGAAGAAAACTCGGCACTTGGAAGTCATGGCAGATAACTTCAGATCAACAGACAGCTTTTTAAAAAAGCAGTTCAACATGTTTACAAGCAAATATGAACATACTGGAGATTTAATTTATTTCTTCGTATGGGAACTAACAAGATATCCAAGAGGACAGGAAGAAGTAAAAACATTCATAAGTTATCAATCACAATTTTTTTTAAAAAGTTACAAAATAATTAATAAAAAATCATTCAACCCAGCAACATATAAAGGCCAAACCAGAAAGTGTAAACAGCACTTACTTCAGGTGGTTTTCTACCTAGAAGCAGGTAAGTAGCCATGACTTCATCATACTTTTGATTTACTAAAGATTCATGGATTTCTTCTCTTGAAAAGCCCATTGTGACCATAATGTCTAAAAGTAAAAAGAGTCAGATATATCAGCAGAATAAGTGTTTGGGTTTACTGACAACCTAAGTGAAAACAGAAACTCCTCTCTTTCACTGTTATTTTCATCTTGAAAACTCCCAACTATATTATACAACTCTTAACTAATTTATACAACATTCAGTGTTATTCAACAAAAAATAAAGCACTGGCAAATAGAAACTATAAACAGCTACTGGGCTAATACAGTAACTTTCTCTAACCGCAGCAGGCAAGTAGGGTTGCCCTCAAAATCTGTCTCCTTCATTCCGTTAAATTCTGTAGTCTTATTGGTCTTTTGCTGTGCTTGTAAGATTGATGTCAGCTCAGTGAAGTCACAACAGTAATTATAAGGAGGCCACTGTAATAGCATTTCTCATTTAGATAAAAAGAACGTATTTTACTTGTATGATGAGATTGTAGGTCAAATTCTTAAGGGTTTAGTTTGCATTCCAAGATAAAACTGCCTGTGTCTACCAGATGCAACACCTTTCTGAAAGTCTTACCTATTCTTTTGGTGTCATTGAAATCTGGTTCAGGCTCAGTATATGGCTTTAGTTCTTCTTCTTCATGACCAACATTCATCCACCGATCCTTCATGATTTGCTAAGGAACGAAAAGAGCTTTAGGTCAACAGGCCCTTTACCATACCCCATTACACCTGTGCTAGCTTGTCTGCTGAAAAGCTATTTGAAGTTCATAATAATCTGAATGCTGCTCTTTCCCTCATACTTTTTCTCCTGATATCTTATTTAAAATCTTTCACATCTTTATATTCCCCCAAGTTCATTCCTCCTATTTACCATTCCCTACACAATCACCCTGCCTAAAATATCAGAAAAAACACTGAAAAACGAAGTCTTTCATTTTGTACCCTTCACTTCTACTGTCTTCTTATCTCATTTTGCCCACTGACTGACACTCATGTGCTCCTCTTGGTTAACATCCTAAGATGCTAATGCAATACTAGCTCTGTCATGATAAAGAGCTCCTTTAAATAATAGCAAAGGAAGTCTTTAGAAACTAAGGAATAATTCAGGAATATGCTGATGCTTCCTACAGTCATTACTTTCAAGATCATGATACCACCTGGTCATTTTTTCCTAGGGATCTTCTCACTGCACTTGACCTAAATATGTTTCCAAGTTTTGCTGGAGGGAGAAATAATTCTTAACACTCTCTCTGCCATGCAGTTATTTACTTCAAAAATTTCTCTTGCCTTCTTTGGAAAATTTCCTTCTGTTGTGACCCGGATCTTTTTGTAGGCCTTCAAGACTGATTGTCTGGAATCCCTAACATCACAATTTCTCCTTAAGGGCATATTCATCTTTAAACAGCTAAAATAATTTTCCCTCCTACAGCAACAGGCACATATCTCTTCAGGGACAGATGCTAATACTGCTCACTACATGGACACAAGAATGAAACAAGTGCCAGCAAATCAAGTTTCCCACAGGCTCTAAATATGCCTTACAAACACTGTATTAAGTTATTTCTCATGAAGAGCCAAAAACTCAATTTTCCATTGATATAACCAAATTCTTTGTGTGTAAGACTGCTGCCCAATTACAGACCCCAATAGGTCTACCCTTACAAGAACAATACAGAACTTTGCGCCAATTAACATTTTGCTGACAATAACACTTGAAGATTTGTTCTATCATGGAACTGATTTTTTTGGCTTTTGAGGGGATAAAGAGGGATTGTGAACACATACTGCTATATGGCATTTCTGACACACAGAACATGAGTCTACTTGACAACAGAATTGGGTTATGTATTTGTAGCCATGCAGCAGAGAGCCTCCCCAAAGAGTACTATGCAGTCTATGCAATCACAATTTTTTAAAGATACAGTTAAGTAAATCTGAAATTTAAGCACAATGAAGTGGATGACGAATCACTGCTCGAATTCTACGTCCCTTTCTCGATCCTTCTTGAATTAACAGACAAGCCTGAAAATTCCCACTTAGTTTTTCATGTCTCTTCAGCAGGTGGATCTAGAGTTCAATGTAATCCACTCTGTTTCCATCTGTTAAGTATCTACATTTCTGCTGGCTTCTGTCTTTGAAATACATGATCTCAGAGGCACACTGAGTTATTGTACAACTCTTAAACAGGCTCTTACAATCAAGCATTTTGAAGTGACACAAACAATCCAGTTCCAGGATCAATACTACATTTGTGCAAGTTCTGCTGGGCTTTCAGTCAGCTGATTAAAGAGCAACAGCCTTGGTCAGAATATTTAGAAATCTGACCCAAACTGTACTTAAACATCAACCCAAACTAAATTTCAACCAGCTAGATATTATTGATGAGATTTTCCTCAATTTTCAGGAAAACTATCTAGTAAAAATCTGGTCTGGCTCAAGTCCTGTCTGTGCCAAAATAATTTTGCTTTATTACACTCTAATTAGAAATTTGCTCTGGAGGAATTTCAGAGCAACACCATGCAAAAGAATTAAAGACTGGGGGAGAAGGAAAGAGGAATTTTTTGAAATCCTGACAGTTAAGAGATATTTTCTGACAGTATATTTTTCCCGTCTCTTCCTGAGTAGATTTACTTGTTTATATCAACATTCTCTTGTTTCTAAAATGCTTCTTCTCAGCTGCAACAATGAAAAAGTCTAGAGGAATCATTTTAATAAAGATTTGCCTGGTCCTGACTAGAGGATAAGTGCTAAGCCTAACCCACACAGTACTGATCCTGTATGGATCTCAGCTTTAATGCTGATGTCACTGACAAACATCCTTTTGGATGGTCTGCCAAAAACATGCATGGGAACTGTGAAGATATATGGCTGGGACTAAGCAAATAATCAAAAGGCAAAGCACAAAAAATTCTCCCCACCTAAGATGACATTGTCTTTCCAACTAAAGTATACTTTCATTCTAAACATGTATTTTTAGAAGTGCTCAGACAGAAATTTCTTTTCAAACCACACTTTTTAATTCAGCAAGTGTGATTTCAGCAATATTCCTTTTAAAAAAAAAAAGGTTGTGATGACTTCTCTCTTCTCCCTCTCAGGTTAGCATACAGATCAATGTCTGTTATCAGTATTTTGGAACTGGCTCAAGACTCTCGGTCACACACAACATTTACTCGTTCTCTTTCACACAATCTGACAACCTCAGCCTTTCAGTGAGGCTGCTATCCAACACCTCTCTCCAGGGACAGGAAGGAATTTTACAAGAACTGGATAACACTACAATACCTAGAATAAAAGTGAAATTAGATTTGAAGAGAAACTGCTGAAAATCCAGAGGAAAATTCAATAAAGGAAAAGCTACTTTCCTAACACCTAAACGTGACACAGGTAAATAGTGATCTTTGAATCAGTGATCTTTGACTACACACTCTTAACATTATGTCCTTTAGACAGGAATCACAGAACAAAATGAGCATGTATCAGTAATGTAGAAGCCACCATTCACTACTCTCTTTGGCACAGACTTTATTCAACTTAAAACTATTTAGAAAAAGCCATAAACCAGCATCAGCTCAGAATGAGTTGCCTGCAGACAGAGCTCAGTGAGTGCATGCTTCCTTGCACAGGTAGCATCTATGCCAGGAAGCATAAGTTATGCCACAACAAATAAAAAGCTGCTTAAATGAGATTTATTCACTGGAACACATCCACTGCTGCACAAGTACGTGTAGAAAGATGAAACAAAAGTCACCAGTGATTAACTCATGCAAATACTATTTAAGAAGTATTCTATTTATTTTCTGCTCTATTTTCATCTCTATGGTAAGTAGATGTTATTTTAAAAAAATCTCTCCCTATTAAAGAATTCACACAATAGAACCAGGCAGCTTTTAGAGTGAACTGTACACCAATTATTTGTTAAGTCTCAGCTATGCACAAGTACTATCCAATACATCAATCTTGAACAAAACAGCCCCTTAAAAACACTGAACCTTTTAGACACCTTACAAGTTGTGCACAGATAATCTCTGCATCCCAAGAAAAGAAAACCTAGTTTACTAACAACAACAACAATCATAACTTATTAGAAATCCCCAAAATGGATTTTACCTGAGGGACACAGCAGAAATTATTATAAATTTTCCAGCTACTCAGAAACAAAGCTACCAGAAGAAGAAGAAAGGCTTGAACAGAAATAACTAGCCATTATTAGCATATCATTCACAGAGCTCTTAAGAGTTTACATGTATTATGGCACTAAAACAAACAAAAAAGGCCACACTCTTTTCCATCAGCTAGCTGTTCTTGCACCTATCTTTTTCAAGAGGTCATGAAAATGGAAGTCAAAAAAGCTTATGGTACTTGTTTTTCTGAAAAACTCCAGGAAGATATTTACAATCTTGTCCTGCTTTCCACAGATTTTAAACCAGCTCCATTATCTGACTGAAACAAGTGGGAACAGTTTGCACTTTGAAATGCTCTTAATTTAGTCGTTAGTCAGCTGCAATTAAGGATAGATTTTCATTGATTAACACTTTCTATTTTCAACCTGCACTGTTTCTGGGGCATTCCCTTTTTTTTTTTTTTTTTTTTAAGACTTTTGGGCTCTCAAAACGGGAAGAAAGCATCTATCCTGAAAAATCAAGAATCCTCAAGCAACTGCTGTATTTTATGCTTTCATAATTTGAACCCCCCTTTTTTCCAAGACAAAATTACTTACTTCCAAGCTGCCTCGTTTTATTGGATTCAGTACTAGTAGCTTCTTCAGTAGATTTTCACAGTCTGTGGACATATAGAATGGAATGCGGTACTTCCCCCTCAGTACTCGCTCCCTCAGTTCCTGTCAAATAAGAGTTTTAAAAGATGAGCTCCTCATGATACAGAAGATTTAACAGCCAGCAGAAGCCAAGCTTTCATGTTGTTACTGTACCTTTAGGTTCTGACCATCAAATGGCAGTGATCCACTCACTAGTGTGTACAAAATCACCCCAAGACTCCACACATCCACTTCAGGGCCATCGTATTTCTTTCCTTGGAAAAGTTCAGGAGCGGCGTAAGGCGGGCTGCCACAAAACGTGTCCAGTTTATTACCAACCGTGAACTCATTACTAAACCCAAAGTCTGCAATTTTTATATTCATATCTGAATCAAGCAGAAGGTTTTCTGCCTAAGAGGAAAATAAAAGAGGAAGAGGACAATTTTTGTATTAGAGTAAGTATGAATACATATATATAGTACAGTGAATAATTTATCAATAAATACAAAAATGTTTCTTCTAAAACAGTTCACCATCTGCCTCTTTCTTGCAGAATAAAAGAAAGTAATCCCCTCCTAGTATGTTACAAGGACTAAAATCAGCAATGTTTACTCAAGAAAATATAACTATTAAAAGCAGCTAAACAAACTTAAAAGTCAGCTAAGTGAATCAACTGTACATTTTATTTTCTGGAAGAAATAACGTAGTTCAGCTTTAGAGTGAAGTATCTAGACATCTCAGAATAGCTGTTGAAGCTTTTGACAGGTTCATGCCAATTTCTGGTGCCAAGGAGAGTAAATCTAATCCTAGACATCATCTACCATTATGGCAGAGTAAATGTTAGAAGGAATTTAAGACTTACGAAGTTACCTTCCTCTTCTAAGATGAAACACTTCAAGCTACATGCTGGACCTTAGCATTCTGTACCAAAAAATCCTCTCCCTTTTATTATTAGTGTTTGCTTCAGCAGCAGTAACACCAAGGTGTCAGCACTCAAGTATTTAATTCTTTTCACACAGAATGTACTCTGTACATCTAAGATTAATGCCTGTGTAGCAATCATGTGAATGCAATGCATCACATATACATAGATGCAAGTGTACAGGTACCTGGAGAGTCAATAAACAGTGTATTATATTTAGTATCACAGGTAGGTAAAAAGATTAAAAGGGTGAAATTGCAGAAATACTAATAAATTATTGGGGGAATAAAGTGATTTCTCAAAATACAAGGATGCTGTGCAAGGAGTGCAGCAGAACTGGGCAATGTTTATCTAACTGGGTCCGAGCTCCTGACCTGCATGTCAGCAACACAAGACAGCACCAAGCAGTGCTGTAATCCTACTTTTTCAATAGGAGGCCAGATATTAACCAGAGTAGAGGGTTCCCCTTATTGCCAAACAACAGTTTTATAGCAAAGAGACATCTCTAATCAGATGCTATACTCAGAATTGAGTCCAGAAAACATAAAAATGTTTCAGCTCACAATCAGAGAAGCAGCAATCTAATTGTCAGCTGTTTAAAAGCGTAAACATGATTTTGTCTGGGTTTGTTTGAGTTAATTTTTAATATTTTTTCTTACACTCAGTGAACAGGAGACAATTAACTACCAGTATATCAAGCCAATAGCTGCACAACAGAATTTAGCCTTTATCAGGAGTAAAATACAGCCCATTTTTACAAACTCTGTCCTGGAAAATATTTTATTTTTCCAATTCATGACCTGTAATTCCAGCTGGCTCCAGCTGATGTGCCTGCAGACAGACTCTCAGAGCTGTTTTCCAGAGCTGACAGCCTTCTACACTACTTCACAAAGACTTCATTCTCCTTGTGGTGAAAACAGTACTGTCAGTGCAGCTGCTCTGTGATTACAACAGTCCTCCTAGTTCAACAGTATTCTGCTACCCAAGTGCCCCATGCTTTCAGGTTCCTTACTTCAGACAAGAACACCAAAAGACCTTTTTAATATGGCAAATAGAAAGATGATGCTCTTGTTGATTGCACGTTCAGAGAAAAAAAGTATAAACTGAAAAAATAAGTTCTGTCCATCACAGGATGAGCAAAGATGGAATTGACTGCAGCCCTTTCTACACAACTTGTTTATAATTACAAAGTAAAAAGGAGGCAATTCTTCTACCAGAATAGCCTGGACAAACTTGTGTATTTTCTTACACATCGCCCCAGTTTAGTCTGAAATAATTTGTAAATAATAGAGTTTACCCTGTTATTAAAGCCAAAAGTCTTATCAAAAATATCCAAAGTGGTGCTAGACCTCTGCCTTGTTGTGCTGCAGTATCAATTGCTCAATGTGCTGATACCATGGAGAGTCAACAGAAGCAAATGAGAATGCAGACACCACTTTAAAGTTGCTTTTTCCATCTCTGCAGCTCCATGAGAAGAGTTTTAAACGAGACAGAGATGTCATATCACTTGGAAAGAAGAGATGAAGCAAGAACACCTCCTCAAAGACACACATTTAGCCTTTTTTTCCTTTGGAAAATGTATTTTTCATCGGCTAGGCTGACTGGCTCTCAACCACACTTTACTATGAACTTTTCAAATGAGTCTAGCATAATTCCAGCCAAAAGACAGAGAGAAAAAATCAAATGAAGTTATTTTGGAGCCTGCCTGGCTGTCTTGCAAATAGGCAGGAGATCAGCAGCAGACTCCTCGTGGAAGGTAGTTCCTGTGTTAATGCTGCAAAGCTGTTACGCATAGGCTCGAGAGCGCGGCCTGTGAGCTGTGTGCGCTATGGAACTAAGAAATGGGAGAGAGGTGGAGACTCTAAGGGGCTCTTGAAGAAAAAGCAAGATACAGGATGCTGAGTAACTGCAGGGGTTAATGCAGCAAGATTCAGTCAAATAGCTGGGCTGAAGGAGCCAGAGCTAGATAAGCATGAGGAGGTGGCCGGCTCCCTACTCCCAGCTGAGTGTGGAACCAAGAGAACCAGTGAAGGGCTTGACCTGGCTGGCCAGGGTGCAGCCTTCTGCAAAGCTCAAAAGCAGTGGCTGCAGTAAGATCCAGGGAGTTTGACAAAACATTCACAGGCTCCAAACTGTCAGGCAAGACATGGAGGAATTTTTTTTAATCAAGATTTTGGTGAGATCCAACCCTTTTCCTTCCTTGCATTCTGACTTCAGAGTGCTGGGCAGTCATCTCCACCATCAGATGACAACACTCCTGGGGCAGGGACAACTGAGTAGAAAAGGATGTATTTATTATCCATCCTCATGTATGCATGCAGGAGCTGGCAGATTGACAGGTATCAGGGAACAGATTTGTAAGAATGAGGTTGAAAGAATGCTGCAGTGCATTATAAGACAAAAGATACTGGTGAAAAAAAGTCCTTAGGAATTACTCAACTTCAGCTTTTCACAAGTATTCAGATAGATAAGTAAGAAAGAACCTACACCAGTGTTTTCTTTGTAAATGTTCAAAGACATCAAAGCAACAGCACAAGACAGCTTTTAAGTGGGTGAGGATGATGTCCGAGTCCCATGATACCTAAACTTGGCACGAAGACAACTTCAGGCAAGGCTTAGGTTGTACCTGCATGTGCTGAACTCTTAATATAGTCTGGTGGTTTACAGATAGATTATTTAAAAGGATAAAAAAACCAAAAACAAATCAGCTAATTTCTGTTTACCCTTAATTGTTTTTTCCTGCCCAAATTAAACACTAAAATATAAACCATAAACTCTCGGATTAAAAACCTAACGTACTACTTGTAAATCACTAAGGAAACACTGTTTTATATATCTTTGCAATATACTTTAACTGAAAATATTTTAATTAAGTTGTGATGGCTGGTATCAATTGATCTTCTGCAGCTTCACTGTGTAGATACCAGCATGACAGCAGGTATAATTCTTTGGAGAGCCTGTCTTTTTCTTAAATCCAAAACTGGAATGAAACTAACACATGTTCTATTCTTGTCTCCCCCCTGTTCCAACAGGCAAGTTATATTATTTTTGTGCTTCAGGAAATTGAGAATAAAATACAAGTGAGAGTTCCCTCATTCATATATTTGAGGCATTCACAGGCAGTGGCAAGATCCAATATATAGAATGAAATTAAGTCTGTATGATAAGCAGCAAAAAGTAAAATAAGCAACAACCTACCTTAAGATCACGATGAACTATGCATTTTTGATGACAATACTGTACAGCAGATACAATCTGAAACACCAAGATCAGTGAAATACTTTATTTCAAATTAAAAATTAAGTTTTTGCATATAATTTAGTAATTTTGTTTCCTGATATGATTCACTAGAATGTAAGAAATTAATAAATAAAGTGTTTATCTTAAAATAGTCATCCAAATTTCTTTCATTAAAGTTTAGATACCAAAACTATAAAGTCTGTATAAGTAGCTAATTTTCCTAGTAAAAGGAATAGTACATACCACTCAAGACAATTGGAGAAATATTTTTTTAAAATGCAAATCAACCAATAGCAATAACTATTGAAAGGAAATTAATCCACCCTTCAAGCCAGTGGCCAGATACATCATCTCAGATTTTATCTTGTAAAACATCAACTGTGTATCATTGCAATTCATCCCTAGCAGAACAATTAATTCAACATTTTCACGTCTTCCACATACACAACAAAAATGAAGTCTGAAACAGCAAGTTAAGAGCAGTTTCTTTAAATGTTAATTATGTAACTTAACATATATTATTATATATATATCTAAATTATATAACTTAATCCTGAAAAACAAGCTTGATATATTTATCTGATTAAAGCTTTTCCAAAACAATCACTAAAACCAGGGTAAGAAAAGAATTATGAGAAAGTTGTAATAAGAATATAAAAGCCTATTACAGAATAGCCTTCATACAGAACAGTGTGACATGGCTGTCATGACATCAACATCTCCAGATATAACAGCTGTAAAATTCTAAAATATTCAGAAAAAGATTTAAACCTCAAGTGAGTCACAATAAAAAAAGTGACTCTTAGGAACACTGACTAAAAGAAAATGTAAAACAATTTTACTATTTTTAGACAGTATCTAGGAAGCAGATACTTTTCTCTTCTGGATTTTTTTCCACTGCAGCTTTAATAATTATTATCAAAACAATTTCTTGTTAAGTAGAACAAGTTTGCTCATGCTCATGTCTGTCTGAAAACAACGTAAATCAAAATAAAAAAAAGAATGAACACATTAATTTCATACCTGCCTGAATTTTGAACGAGCCTCTTTCTCTTTCATTCTTCCATGTGCAACTAGATAGTCAAACACTTCTCCTGATCATGACAAGGACAAAACATCAACATTAATTTTTTTTACTATCACACACAATCAAAACATGCTTGAAAACAACACACACCTCACACTGCTCCCCTACTTGAAGGGAAAGGAAATAGAAGCAGCCAAGAAAAATTCCTTTTGACTTCTCATTGGATTTCATTCAGACAAATAATAGAACTAAGTAGTAAAAATGGAACGCTTAATACTGAGATTTCTCTAGTTTTTAAAATAAATCACTGTGAAGCAAACAGAATCAATCATTAAAAATATTCATATCATGTGTACAACACATTGGGAATCAGGCAACTTATGCCCCAGATTTGTTTTGCACATCTCTAGTGGCTTCACTTAACATTATTTATATTATTTCTGCTTATTCCCTTTTGCTCTTTTCCTAATAAAGCTGCTCAAATGCCTTTCAGATCCCCATTTTTGCACTGTCTGACAGCAGCCTTTCCTAGCTGATCACTGACACTGTGCTGGATTCTCTTCCCACATTCAAACATTTCCCATTCAGATGCTAAGCAGCTTCTCAAGCAAGCACTCACTATCCCTCTCACTATGAGCCTGCTGGTTCCCCTTCCTGTGTTACTGATTCCCATCCTCGGATCTGCCTCTTCAAGTGCTTTGGCACACATTTGCAAGATAAAATAAACCTAAATATAGCAAATAAATATGAGTCCAGAGTTTTTACCAGAATCTGTGCCAGATTATCTCCTGATACTGCAGCATGAACCTCAGAATGGGAACTACCCTTGAGCACAAACCTAAGAGGCTACTTAACAGAATCAAGAAATCCTGCCCTGAGAGGTCTGCTGGGACTACTCTCAAGGCCAGATTGGAATAACCCATTAAATCCTTAGAGCGTTTCGAGGCATGTAACTGGCGTTTCAGTTTATCCTTAACGCACATTTCAGAATCCACTTACCCCCACTGGCATATTCCATTACCAAATACAACGTCTTTTCAGTCTCAATAACTTCAAATAATTTTACTGCAAGAAAAATGAATGAGAGATTGCAGCCAGGAGTAAAAGCAGAGCACAAACAAACAATTATACTCATGGAATGAGTATAATTTATGGCCAGTGATAATGCTAAATCATACAGAAACTTTATATCCTTTAGGTTAGCATTCTTTGGAGGGGGAAAAAGACCAAAAATTAATTTCTAAATCACAGTTGATAATAAAGCATATTAATTCACAATTTTCTCAGAAGTTTATGCACACTGTACAAACGAGTTCATGCTGAAATTAGTGTTTAATTTGACACAGACTTAATTTAAGAACATACAAACCTCCCTTGTTTTTCTAGCAAACTGCTCACAGTCAGAAATCTGAGATTCTGACCAACTAAAAACCAAGTGGATACCAGAAATGTTAAGTCTGACTTGCCTCAGATTGCAATATAACCAGTCATTTAAAACAAACACACCCCCACCACCACCCCCAAGAAAACAAAAAACAGCAGAAGCTATGAACGCTGAAAAAGCAACAAACAATTTAAGGGATGAGAAGGGAGTGCCTAGCATGTAATAACTTGTACACCTCGTCCATACCTTGTATGCAACAAGCCCTCTGGCCGATTCAGGACCATTAACTGTCTCTGGAACAAGACTGTCCAGCCCTCCTCAGCCAGAAGAATTGTCATCACAAAGTAGGGCCCTGAAGCTGTGGGGTAGGTGAAAGAACTAAAGCAGAAAGGGAAAATTACATACTTGGTAATTCTAATTTTCTGGAAATATCAGTCAGCAGGACTCTTTCCTAGACTGAACTAATGGAGTTCTGCTACTCTCTCCAAAGAAACTCATGCTTTTGGGTCTCAAGAATAATTTCAATAGAAGAGGGGAGTTGGGGTACTGATAGACCAGAGAGCTCACATCTCCTACTCTGTGTAAGGCTTTTCTGAACTGAGCAGTTTACCTGCTCTGAGCAAAATCCTTGATGCAAGCAGAGTCAATAAAAGAGGTGATACAACGAAGCATTTACCAGATGCTTACTATCCTATTAGCTCCAAAGAAAGTTTAATAGCAGTACATTCAAATACAGCCAAAAAGAGTAAAATGTAAACAGTATAATAGAAAAAAAGTCTGCAGAAATGCAGGGCTCCTACCAATATTGGGATGATTCAGAATCTTCATTATTCGTACTTCTCGAAACAACTGTCAAGGAAGCAGAACAATTTCCTTAGAAAGGGTTTATTAAGGAAAAATTAAACAAAATATGCAATTTTAAATGCCAAAAAGACAGAAAAGGCCACAGAAAGCAGCATTAGCATAAAATATAGGTAAATATAGTGCAGTGAACTCCAGAAAACAATCTACATCTTATGCATTAAATAAATATAGCCACTACAAATAACTACATACCAAAACCAGACTAATTTTCAGGTTTTATGCAAACAGACACACTAAATTGTATAGCCCTTTCTGGAGTTTCACATTGACCAAACCCCACAGATTATTCACACAAGTATTCACTCTCTCTGATTTCTTTGGTGACTAGCAAGCTCAGCCAACTATCCTGACCACATCAAACCTGCGGGTGCAAGTACAAAGTGAAGCATTAGAGAAAAGTCACACACAGATGTTCAAATGGAATCAGATACCAGGAATTCTGAAATCCTACAAGTGCTGCTGCTCCACAGAGGTGAAGTAGGCAAGTTTGCTTTTCCCACAGCTACCAAATTTTACATTGGTCACAAGTAGCAGCAATCCCACTCTCTCCCCCTGCAAGTCCTGAAGATTTATCATTGCTGAAAGTCTGCTGTATGGCACTGAGTCACATAACTATAAACAACTGGACAAACTGAAAGCCCTAAGTATATATTCTTCACACAGATTTTTTTTTTTTTTTCTCAAAACAGAAAAAAAGAGGTTATTGCTCCTACATTTCAATATTCATGGCTTTATCAATTAGAGGTGGATCAAGAGGCTCAAAGGAAAGAAGACAATGAAAGAAATCAAAAATGCCTATGTAGTTTGGTGCTGTGTACTTGAGGCTGGCAATACTGATGGGCTTGCACTGTTTAACTGAACAGCATAGCCCCTGTTTACTGTGCTGCACACTCTTTGGTCCCTTATTGGGCTAACATAGGATGCCAAAATAAATGAAGAAATGCTCACTCCTCAGTGTAATGCTAAGACATTTTAGAAACATCTTGGCACCACAGTCCTCCTTACAGAGAAACTGGGCTCAACACATCGTGTTGTTGCTCTTTTGTTTCTCTCTTATCTCAGAGACATCTCACCCTCCATTTTTAAGATTAGTCCCATTTGATCAGATGCAACCCTTGCAAAAGGGTACAGTGAAGCAAACCAGAGACCAAACAGCTCCCCAAAGAGTAGCACTATGTATTCTGTGTTTCTAAAATTCTGCATTTATTCTACAAGTTAAGATTACAGAACAATATCTTACTGACACTCAGCTTTTGATACAGTATGATTACTACAGCTCAGGTAATAAATAATATTACAGTTTTAGATTTGTGTTATTTAAGTACTGCATGCTAGTTACTAGGCACTTGCCTCATAACTGCCATTAAAACAATTTCAGAGAGAAGCAAAGACTACAGAAACATTTCTCTGAGTAAATATGAACAGATGCAGTTTACTTATGTCTAAAACACAAAACAAGGGTATATAACATTATACATCAGAATTAACTTCAGCAAATATATTTTCCTCATGAAATTGGTTATTGCTGAGAAAAAAACATCACACCAACATGTTCTTTGTGAATTTGTTCTTTTTCTAAGTATTGGAATTCGTTGCACAAGAATAAATTTCTTAGCTAAATCAATATAGACTAATCAGAAGCTAACAAATCTGCTTCAATGGATGGTACAGCATCAGAAGAGCTCCTAAGCAGGTATGTGGAAAATCAGTTCCTCCCAAAAGACTGGAAACCTATTTCAAAACTTAACACTATTAACGCTGGTATAAGAGGTACAGCATATGTGTTCATACACATACCTTCATAAGCACAATTAAAATATGAGAATTCTACAGAAAATTTCAACCCTCAGTTTTATATTTAATACAAAGCACATGGGCATTGAAAAAAAAACAAGTTGCGCATTATCACATTCAATATTTTCACAAGATTTACAAGTTTACTAATTGGTTTAAGATTCAAATTGATTTTACAGTGACATGAAATTTTGTTCCACAAGTATTTCCGAATAAAAGCCTTAACAGTACTTGAGGACATTATTTTACATTGCAACTCTGCATTCCATGAAGCACTATTTTGCGATAAATCCCCTCCCCCATGCAGAAGCATGCTGGTTATTAACACCTGCAATGTCAATAAATATCTATTTACAAATATAAACACTTTTAAACAATAACCACTACACCCCTCAGTAACACTCAGGATACATCTTTTCATTTGCATATAGAGGTATTTAAGCAAAAAGACCATAGTTATTTCCTACAAAGCCAAGTTTGTTAAATTTATAAAAATCTGGACAGAACAGTGATATTTGCTCTTCTCTGAGGACAAGGCAACCTGCTGCAGGATTATCATCTATTTTACTGACAAAAAAATAGCATTTCCAGAATTCAGAAACACTGTATTTTCCTGAGCAGCACTGTTCTTCTCTCTCAGAAGCTATAAGTACTCCCTGACTTCTCTCTCCTCACCCCACCACAGATTTATAGGACCACTCTTCATTCTTAAAAAGTGCCACCATTCAAAAAAGCCCTTGAATAAGCATCTCCTTGTTGGAAAGGTGCTGTAGCCTCATAAGCTTCACTTATAGAAAGGGAGAACCAGCATCACACTCAGTTCCTATAATTTGTAGTTAGGACTGTCGACAGGACTTGAAAAATGGTTTCCTGTGGTTCCAGCTTAATTTTCCAAGGTACAAACTGCAGAAAACAAAGATCTGCCACACCATTAACAACATTTCTACCTGCTGTCAGACTGACACCTATGTTTAAGGTATACTTTAAAGTTTATGCTTTACGTCACTGCAGTCAAACTGAAAATTTTCAGTTCACCAAGGCTTTGCCTTGCTTTGAAAAACGTGCTTAAAAGTTGCTCTGCTTTGTACACTGTTACTGAGAAGGGATATGGCAAAAGAAGCACTGCCTTCAATAGGTAACATATTGAAATTGTTCCAAAACTTCTTCTACTACTTTACTTCTGTTCCACTTTTCTTAACAGAGGGAACTTAAGTTAGAAGCTCCAAGTATGTTTAAAAAATAAAAAGCTTGCTGACCACTACCAGGTGCATATCTGAAATAACCATTTGCTAATTAAACCTATTAATGAAAAAAAAAAAACACCTGCACCACTAGAAGTTTGCAGAAGAGCAACAGAATGCTATTTCAGAAACATCCCTGGTGAAGCTGGTACAAGACAAAACTTTCAATATAGCAGATAAGCAAAAATCTGCTATTTTGATATGAATTTTGTGTTACGACAAAACCTGAATACTTACATTTGGGAACAAATTACAATAGTGACAATGGAAAAAGCTAAGTCAGTACAGGATGTTATTGTCAAGACAGCAAGTCAACAATAAAGCCTGCTCTGTTTGAAACAGATTCTTGCTGAGTATGGTGGTAACCATATACTGGACAAACTGAAAACAAAACAGAAAGGTAGGACCCTTAATTAAACTGAACTGGGTTTCCTGTTTAAAGAGGTGGAGGTCCTGGAGTGGGAAATATAATGTAAGTTAAGACTATCACACTGCATAGTCAAGAAAGCAAAACTAAAAATTCACAATATCAGCTTACTTAAGCTTAATGTTAGGCCATGACACAAGCTAAAGTAACTGTCTGAAGTACCCTGTCCATACTACAGGGCATGAAAACCATTGGTGAGCAGCTAAGAAGAAATGAAACACTCTTTGCTTTCATACCCGTGACCAACTACAGACACAGCTTGTATAACACTTCCAGCAAGTGAAGTATGTGCTCAAATATTTCTGTTTACAAAACAGAATGGTGCATGTGAAGCCATGATGACTCATTTAACTTATTTAGGTCAGTAGCAAGCACTGTAGCAAAACCGACTCACACTTGGTATCTTTCATACTTTGATGAATGGAAAGGAGATGGTTTCATGAATGACCCCATGCCCAAGATAAGCACAAATTTATCTTGTTTGATTAATAATAATCAGTAGTGACTGAAGGTCTAAAAGTTTTGCTGCACTGCATACAATTTATCACCTTTGAAGTTCAAGAGACTGTCAAATTCTCAACCATGAGAATTTAGATCGGTTCAGACTTAGGAGTGGTATTTTTGCACAAGTAGCATTACTTCAGTGTCCTCTATAAACCTTCATTAGCTGAGTGTCTGTTCCTATTAACACAAAACTATCACTGCTTCCGATTCCCAACACTACCTATCCAAGAAAAATGCCCAACCACTTAACAGCCCTTTGTACAGTATAAGTCTGATGACAAAATTATAAAACTTCACGTTGCTATGATACTAAATATTACATAAAGAATCAGAAACATAATGTAATAGCAAAGTGCAGAAAGAAAAAAAAAAAAGGTGACTTATTTCATAGAACAGCAAAGGAATTTCTATTATTTTACTTGAAATTCACAAATGACCCATTAAAATATTAACAGAAATTATCTTAAGCATGCTAATAAACCACCCTCTCACCCTTATTTACTTTATATGCACAGTTGCTTCAGTGACACTGCAAAAATTGTGCTGAAGTTTACTCAAGAGCTTTCAGGCAATCAATATTCATTCACTCAGCCACAGCTGAAGACATATAAAGCTTCAAAACAAAATTATTTTTTATGAAAATCATAATATTTTACAGATGAAAACATGAAACGAACAAATTACCCCATTTTTTAGTGTGAGCAGATGATGCATGGGATCAACATATTTAGAAGTTACTGAAAAATGGAATTGCAATTAAATCAATAAATGCAAATATCTATCATCCTTAGTGCTACTATCAGCTGCTTCTAACAGTACCTAACACTGATTCTCTTGTTGCCAGCTTCCCACTCAGAAAAAACAAGTAACAGCAGCAATGTCCTATTGTGCGAGTATTTTATGTACTATTTGTGCAGTGTGACAGAATCTTTTGTATGCTATGAAAGTCTTATTTATACTTGGAATGGTTTATTGAATTATTATTGAGTATTTTTGTTTAAAACTATTGTCCCAAAGATGAGGTTTTTTTTTGCTTAGTTTTCCAGAAAGTTTTAACATATTTTAGCTTCTCATGGCTCAACAATGAGACAAACCCAGCTCTTCAACTGTGAATACCAAGCTAGGTAGGAAACAAGCTACGTGAGCAGCACAGGTTTCCACAATATGCTCTGTCACACACTGCCTCTGTGGGTCCCTCTTCTCTAGCTCAAATATTAGCAAAGAGATTTGCTTAATATTGGATGTAACAGCAAAGCTTCTGCACGGACTGCACAGCAGGTTGAATTAAAAAAAAATAAAAATCCAGAAGAACTCACACTCAGATACTACTAAGGAGGCATTAAAGCAAATAAAGTATAAAAGTGATAAAAGGAAAAAAGAAATTAAAGCAAAGCTGTTTAGAACTCTTCACAACCTAAGTTACACAATAAAATAAATTCTAACAGCAGCCAGAGATAAAAGAAGCAGCAATAAGCCCTGGTCTCTGTCTCTCATTTCTACAGCTACAGACAGCAGCAGTCTACTATTTGTAAGCAAGAACTACCACAAATCTTTATTAATGGGCATCCTCCAGTAAAACGATACAACATTTCTGTGCTTCAGCCACAACAAAACATATGCAGAGTTAAATAATAAAAATCCAAAAGAAACAAAAATCCCTAGGGTTTTGATAAAACCCTTATCACAATGACTATGGAAGACTTCTGAATTTCTATCTACAGGCATAAACAACACTGTTTTGATTATATTCACTCATTTTGTCAATTCTGTGCATGAAAAGTAATTGCCACAGGTCCCCTGAGTTCAGCAAATATTTTATTGAAGTTGAAAGATTATAAAGATAAATGTAGAAAAACCCATTAAAACAATAGAAGTTGGTACTGTAAGTCCACAAAAAACAATTACTACATTAAAGAAAAAAATCCAAGAAAAATACCATCCATTACAGCATTAAATCTTGGTTTAGCATGTAGACAAACTGTTTGTATACTGAATTGGAAAGAAATGCTACTGCTGGCAAAGAGGAAATGCTACTGCTGGCAAAGAGGAAGGAAGAGCAAAACAACAAAGCTCAGATAGGAACCACATGGAATCACTGCCCTCAGACAAATGTATGTGAACATTATAGCAGGGAGACAACACTCTCCCCCCAAGGTCACACACAAAAATGTTGTTTAGCAAGATAAGGGGATCAAATATTTTTGTCAAGTAAATAAAGGATCACAGTTCAACTGTTTACAGAATTTCAGATGTTATGGTCTATTCTTACCTTTTGCAGGCTAGTAGGATTTAGCTGGGTTTTATCTATTATTTTCACAGCAACCTTGGGAAAAAAAATAAACAATTACTAAACTCAGAAAAAGGTTTGAACAAAATGTGTTGAAAAAAAATATATTGCACCTCTGTGAGCAAGAGCATAGATGCATCTCTAAAATGTGCATGTATATATATATACTTCTATACATTTAATCAAACAAAATTCTCTAACCTATTAAAATTTACCAGCAGGAGTTTGGAACTTTGCCACCAAAGCATCAGTTTTATACTTCTGTCTGTGTTTAGACTGAACAATGTTATCTTGTCCACTGTTATCTTGTCCAGGCCCTCCAAACACAAGATTTATCTATTAACATATCACCAATATCAATGATATCTGCACCTCAATACATTTCTCTTCAGTTTTAGAAATGCTTGGGGATGAACAGACACCTTCCCAGCCCCAAAATACCATTGGATGCACAACAAACATTTTGATCCTTTCACCAAGAAGCTATATTTTAAAAAGGGGGTGGGTGGGAGGTTAGGTGGAAACTCAGGCATGTCAGGTAACTTCTTCTACATCCTGAAACAGCCTCTAGAAGAAATACTTATTATAAACATAGCCAAAGAAAAATCAGACTATCAGCCTTTTTTTTTTTTTCCAAGTCTTACCTCTCTTCCAGTAAGCACATGCCTTGCCAGCTTCACTTTGGCAAAATTTCCTTTTCCTATTGTTTTCAGCAAGCGATAATTTCCAATGTGAGGATGCTCCTCATTTGTGGATGTGATGGAGTTCCTACATCGTGGGATATTTTGTCTGCTACTTGACTTGATAGGCTGGATGTGTGGTTCGGTGTATCCATCAACAGAGGTGTGCTGCAAAGCAGACAAAACAGTTGGGAATTTAGCTACTTGGATTTTAGACAATTGCAACAGAATAGACCACAATCATAAAAAGGTGTAAAGGGGAGTCATTTATTTAATTTTTACAATATAACTGATAACTCTGGATGGCAGCCTAAGGAAAAAATGCTTCAGGCAGAGTTCGATACATGTCTCACGAAGAAGGCTGCAGAAAGATTTTACCAGCTCCAAAAGCAAAACTAGGTATCTAGGCAGTAATCTACAAACCATTACAGGCTTTTTTAAACATGCTAAACCACACAGTATAGCACTATGTTGCAGATAAATTTGTCTAATCATAATCAAAGTTAGTCTTTTAAAAATAACACTGTACAAAATATACTTGTACCTTGGCATATTTGGAAATAAGGTTTCACTCTGTTTTTTGTTAACTTTCTTCAGTCAAATGACATCACCATATTTTTTTTCAAGTAAGCTTTGTTCCCCAAACATGTTTGCATCTTTTAAATTCTTATTCAAGTAGCAAACTATCTACATCTTTATTTAAAAATAACTATTCTTTAAAACTCCATAAGATGACATAAAATATTTTAAATCTCAGAAGTCAGAAGAACTAAAAGGAAGTTATTTTTAATGCATGCCAACACATCATCCCACATTAAATGTTAGTCACTGAAGTCTGCAGTGCTTCTGTACTCTAACTTCCAAGTATATAAGGGGCAAGTTACAGATGGGGCTTGGAATTGTTCCAAGGAGAAACCAAAGTAATGAAAAATGTCAAAGGAGTGCTAAGTGTTTCAGTATTTCAAATACTTTCTAAGAGTGGCAGATGGGTACAAATGTTTAACAGGTAAAATTTAGCTTCTAATCTTTTAAGTTACAGACTTTGAAGGCTGGCAAATACTGGAGGTAGAAAGAGTGTCTTCCCAGAGCAGATTTTAGATTTGTAGCAGAAAGGCATGCTTACTCCCAGCTAAGCATAAAGCACCAACAGACACCTGAATATTTTCCCATTACTGATTGCCTCAATTAAAAAGTAGATGCCTTTGTACAGAGCACTAACAAGCCTGTTCCTAGATCTTTGACCTTAAGCTGAAAGCAGAATCTGAGGGCAGCTGGAGTTTTACTGCTTCTCCCAGTATCCAACCTAACACTGGGCTGTGCTGATCTCATCCATCATTCCTAATGGAATTATTTCCACATACAACCAGAATTTAAAGCAGTACTTCCAGCTTCAGTGTGCATTTGTTGAGAGACTGAATCCAGTGTGGATCAATCCCCACCTTTAAGCACTCTGGCTTTACAGACAGTCCCACTGAACCGGGCAAGATTATTTAAGGACATGAGCAGTAGTGGAATCGGTAAAGCAGCAAACAGCTGCAACACAACCGGAAAAAACAAGGAGTATACCACAACCAGAATGTTCTTCCCAAATGTAGCACAACCCTGCTTACATCACCTTCAGCATTATTAATTATTCACTATGGCCAAGAGAACAGCCCTAAATATAATTTTGTTTGTCTTTTCATTGCATGAGTCCTTCTGCAAAGTACTACTGTAACTCCCACTGCTAAACTGTTTTCCAAATTACTGGAGAACCAAGCAAGCCAGGCATGTTTAGATTCTGTATATCAGACAAATTTATTCAGTTATGAAATAACACACTAGTAATAGTATTTACTCTTTAGAAGCACATCATTAAAATGTTTTCTGTGGACTCTGAAAGAGAAGATCAGAAAAGCAGCTCCAGGCAAACAGGCTTTTGAATTCCTTCAGCATCGGCCACCAGTCCCACACATGATAAACCGCAGCCCAAAGGAAAGTCTCCCCTAAAAATACACCCTGCAAAATCAGTACCTCTATGGTGCTAACAATGAATATTTCAGCTGTACTTAGAACCCAATCCAGGGCTACAGCACTGTGCTACACAAGTAAGGTTTAGAAGTCTTTGAGCCTCTTTGCTCAGTGAATTACATCTTTACTACAGGAAATACAATGCCTACCAGAAGCATTAGCAATCCTAATATCAGTTGCCAATTTCATATGCTTCACAGGATTAGCCTACTCCCAGCAGATACCTGAAGGGATCTCTTAGAGAAACAGCTGAACAGACTCAACCAATGCCATGGGCAAAAAGGAAGATGCCTTCACAGGATACATCATTTAAATACAGATTAAACAAAGAAAGCATTATTGAATCAAAATGACACTATAACAGTACAAAACCTGAAGAGGGGAAAAAAAGTAATAAGGTTCACGGTCATGATGGTTCTGGATTTTGGTCTTTTTCTGACAGAAAAACTAAGCCACTTTGGATGGCTCCTAATTATTTCTTCACAAACAGATTCTCTTCAGAGTTAACCAACCATTCTTTCCAGCTATGCCCAAGGATGACAGAAATCATGCATAAAGAAGGTCAAATTTCCTAGTTTGTGAGCCACACAAATAAATACATACAATTTCTGAATCAGAACATCACTGAATGAAATTCAAACTATTCTTGCAATAGGCCTCTTTTCTGCACATGAACAACTTGCTATTGTTGGAAGGTAAAGATAAATTTCAAGTAGAAACTTATCAACTTCTAGAAATCAACATCCAGTGAAATTGAAACAGAAGATTAAGAAGTAAAAAAAAAAATAAAAAATCAAAGTCAAATAACAGTATGTCAAAGATTATTTCCAAAGAATACTGAAGCTGAATTTCACAGAAGTATGCAACATCCACACTGTCTAGAAGGCCAGGCTACATAGTTTTCAGATCCTTCTTGTCCATTACAATATGTTCATTCATTATGCATCAGCTACTATGTGGCTACTTAAAATGCCATTTCAGTAGAACAATCTCAAAATTCTGAGAAAATTTTCAGGGTGCTGGAAACAAGAGGGCTGTAAAAACCAACACTCTCCTTAAAGTTCACTGTCATCTAAAAACAATTCCAGCCAACAAGCTGCATTTCCCACACAGGGCTTTAATTAGAGATTGTTATTTCACTAGATACCCTGTTTTATATATATAAAGAAATATATATGTACACACACACAAAACATAGTAGGAAACACTACCTTACTAGTACATCATAAACATGACCCAATATATTCAATTTATGTCAGCGTAAAATAAAGTCTCTAGAAAAAACCACATAAAATTAAAGGTTTCTTAAAATAAAATGCAATTTTAAACAAAAGTAGGGTGAAGCAATAACAAGTTTAGAGCTGAAACAGTTTATTAGAGCATTTTGGTATTTTGCACATTAGTCAAGTATTTTAAAATAAGAAAATGACCTGTGCAAAAAAAATCCACCTTTTCAGGAACCTCAAAAAAGTATTTCTAGCATTCAATTTTAAATCACAAAAGAAGAGAGCTCTATTAACACTTACTGCTCCATACTATTTCTGTTTCTGATGTGTTTCATCAAACATTCAGGGTTGTTACAGAAAGCCAAGGGCAGTAAGACCACAAGAGAGTTAACCTAACCCCTTGCTTCTCAAAGCTATCCTTTTCTTTGTTTACCCAAGGTACCTTTGCCAAAGCAAGATGACCTGATGGCCAGACACATCGGCTCAAACAAAGTGCAGAAGAACTAACCCCACCAAGTAGGTACAATGTGTGGGTTTCACTACTTTACATATTCAGCATCCTTTAGCCACTTACTAGCCACTGGAGTGGTACTCTCAGGGATTATACACTGTAATCAAACTTACAACATCACCTATATTAACTGCTACAGCTTGGTCTTAAAAATTCCCCCAAACCATTCCAGTCACCAATCCACACAGCCTTTCTCAAACAACATTGAAGGCCTCCATAGTCCTTCATAGTAAGAGGGTAATTTCCACACATCAGTCTGCCTACAAACACACCTCACTTGATTAAACAAACCTCTTAGTCCTGAATTTTCCCCATCTTGATTTATCAAAAGGTAAATTCCTTGGTAAAGTCAGCCCATGGAGAAAAAGTCTGCACATGCAGTTCTAGAAAAGGCAAATCATCACACTTCTCTCTCTTGGTATTATCTATCCTGCCCTGGACATAAGTATGTATCTTGCAGCCAATTTTTATATTTGCAACTCCTACCATTTACAAGCATGTGCTATACACATGAGCATTTGTAACAGCTGTCATATTTTGCAAATAAGCAAATATTTTTCAAAATAGCTAGCCCAGACAGAGGGAATCTGAAGGGTTCTAAATAGCTCTGATCTGCAAAAGCTTTGCTTTGAATATATGTATAATGTAGTGGGAAACATTCCTTTACTAGTACACCATAAACATGACTCCTGATATACTCAGTTTATGTCGGCATAAAATAAAGTCTCTAGAAATAAACACATAAAATTAGATGTTTCTTAAAATACAATGTCAGGAAAGGAAAGGGGACAGAGATGTGAAATATTGTCCTGGATGTCCAGCTGCTGTCATGCTGCTGCCTGTCATTATTCCTTAGGACCTAAGAGCTTCTAGCAAGCCACCTCAAGCAAGATTTCTGCTGAAGCAACAATCAAACTAAACTGAAAGAGGCCAATTTTTTGAAAGCTCTTGGTAAACCTCAAAGTCGAAGCCATCAAAGATGTTCAGATGAGCTTGTTCTGCATCATGTGTCAAGAGCATCCAGGTGGTACAGGAATGATGTAAACTGCACACAATTAGAGTACCTGATCCCCCAGTTAGAGGCAGGAGAAGGGGATTCTCTCCCCTTCCAGGTAAGCCTCACATCTGCACAAAACCACACCTTACTCCTGCCACACGTACCTATCACATACTGCAATTCCTAAAGCACCTCTGCTCTAATAGAGCACTATCTAATTTTTCCTCTCAGATATGTGAAGGTGTGCTTTTGAAGGGGCAATTTAAGAGACTGAATATATGTACACATGATTTTTTTTCATAATTTCTTCACAGCAATTAAATTCATACTAGATTGTGAATGCATGATAAACTTTGCTATTAAAAACACCACCAAAATGCAAAGCAACCAACCTTCCCCACTGAAAGAAGGGATAATATGCAGG